GGAAGTGGCTTCTGGGCTCTACAAAATTCAAACCAGACAGTGTTTTGCTGGCTGAAAGCGTGACAAAATGTGCTGGAGCCTTTAGCAAAGCAAGTGAGTGTTCCCTCTGTATTTTCACCAGCTCTCCTGGCCGCCTGCCTGCAGGCTGGTGCTGATAGGAACTCCTAATCACCAGCAAACCCGTCATCAGCAGAGTGTTCCCTCAGGAGAAGAGAACAGGAGGAGACAGGCTGAGTTCTGCTCAGCGCTGAGCGTGGTTTGCCACCCGAGCAGCAGGCGCTCCCCGGCAGCAGCTCCCTGCCTCAAATCACTTGTTCCTTTTTAATCCGTGTTATTTCCCCAATGACAACAGGGAACTCGGCTGGGTACGAATGTGACCAGAGTCTGGAGCTCTTTGCTCGCTGAGGAAAGGGAACGTGCTGTGCTGAGAGGCTGTGGTGGGGGTTTCTGAGCCAATTCCTCACTCTCTGCTGGTAAAGACTCATTTTTCCAGCCCACCGGAGAGCGAGCAGCAGCCCCGTGCTGGGGCAGGGTGAGCTGTGCTGCTTCTAGGGTAGAACAAGTCCTGCTCCAGCCTGATGCAACCTACCTGGTGGTCTTGACAGTATCTCTGTGTGGTGATGAGGTGCTGTCTGCAGAGTGGACACAGAGTTATGGAGAGAGGAAGTGATTTCCCCAGCATCACCTGTGTTTGCTTAGAGGAAACTGATTCTGAGTTTCCTAAATTGGTGCCCTGCCTTCTGGACTGTCCAGCCTTGTCTCGACTCACACAGCTACACAGGCATCTCTCCACACCCACCCTTGAACTTGCTGAGGTTGATATTGGGGGTTCAGTTAAAAAAAGCTAAAAAAATATTCATATCCCATTGCTTTGAGGCTGGTTTTGTTATTTTAAAATAATTTATAGAAGTATTTATACAAATATTTCTGTGAAATCTTACCAGGCTTCTCCATTTTGGTATTAATTTGACACTGGCTTTAGAAAGAGTCTAAAATAAGCTTTTACTGTCAAGCCCAGAGTGCATCCTGTCACTACAGGCTTAAGTCCTCACTCAACTTGGCAAGACTTAGGACCAAAGTCACTGTGGTGCCTTTGAAGACAATACCCTTCATTATGCCCGAGTGTCATCAAGTCATGCTCATTAAATCCTCTAATCCTGGTTAAAAAGCTCCAGCCTCACCCAAAATGAATGTGTGGAGAGACCAAATTGGTCCTGTTGGACCAGTTTTGATTTAATATCTCTGGAAGCAGAAGACAAAAAGAAGAGGATCTTCCACAAAGCTGATACTCTCATGGTACTTGGATAATATAAAATGAGGTGAGGACAGTGCCCAACCCCACCTGTCCAAGCAGAGGATCCTGAGTGCAAGCAGGAAGCTCTTGTACTTTTAGGATGGTGCTAGTAAGAAGTCAAATGTAAGAGGAGGAAAATACCTTTGAAAAATCTTCATCTTTAAAAAAATAATAATTTTAAAAAAGAAGAAAATTAGGAACAAGAAATAAAAAGTCTGGCTCTGAGGATGAGACTCATCCTCCATAACATGATCTGTTAAAAACTTGGGCAGTGAGTCTATAAACATCAGCATCCCTCAGCCAGCACGGGCTGGAGATGCTGCCAGATAGGAGGGTGTGTGGCTCCAGATGGTGTCTCTGCCCTGTGTCCCTGGTGCGACTGAGCTTTGCTGCCCACAGACCAGGCTGAGACCCCGGCTGGGTGAGTGCTGCCATCCACAGGAACGGCCAGAGAGTCCTTTGGACACCTCCTTCCTATGAGCTGGGCTGGATTTCTGTGTTTGCAGTCTGCTTTCCCACACATAAATTCTGGTCCCCACTGTAATGGGTCCTTGGCCAGCTTTTCAAAGCCTTGGCTCGGGTGCTGGCTGTACTTTCTCAAAGGATGGGCCGTTCTCATCTCCCCCGGGTGTCAGCTTCTTGCTCAGCAAAGCGGTGTGCTTTTCCTGTTGCTCTTCTAAAGTCCTGTCTGCTTATTCTCTGCAGACCAGAAACAGAACCTTTGCTGTTTGGTCTTCAGCCAAAATATTGTTTATTTTCTTGGTGCATGGTGCAATATCTACAAGTCTGTGCACAGCTGGGGTATTTGTGCAATAGAAGCAGAGATTTTATTTCTTCCCCCTTTTTTCTCTCTTATTGACCCAGCAAATAGCCACTGAACCAGAGAAGAACACTTATGGGTAGCAGAGTTTTTATTTATTTATTTATTCATTTGGCTCAGCTCTCATGGAGTGGTGACATCCAGTCCCTTGTCTGCTAACCCCAGCTGTGTCTTGTGTAAGAAGGAGTGATTCTGTGAGTCACTGTGAAAGATGACATGGTTTGGAGGTGGCATCTCTGATGGAAAGGGGAGGTTTGGAGATGACTGTGGTCATTGCATCTGTTCCTGTGACACAGCACTACACACCCCTCTGGGAGGCTGCCCAGAGCTGTGGTGATCCTGGGGATCCCTCCTGTCCTCTCTTGTTAATACTTCCCATCCCTGCTGTGCTTTGCAGGTTGAAGCACTTATGATGGAGATGCAGAATCCAGATACGGGCATTAAGATGCAGACTCAGACGGTGATGATCTCAAGCATCCCACATGCTCTGGCAGGTAAGAGCTTCACCAGGAGAAGGGACCAGGCCAAGGAAGTTCATCAAAGAAAAGCTTTTTGTGGCAGTTTCCACTGCCTGGATGCATACAGGAACCCGTGTTCCCCAAAATATTTGCTGTACATCCTTTGGGACATACTCACTCCCTTGATCTCATTCTCACTCGTGTCTCATTTCACTCCTATCTCATTGAATCAGAGTCACAGAGATTGATAATCACGTGCTTTTAGCTGTCTCACATGAGTTTAACTCGAGTACCTTTGCTTTCTCTTATCATACAGGTGAAGAGGTGCTTCAGCCTCCAGACCTGTCATATTCCTAGTGGGGCTGCATCACAAATAAGGATAAATATTAAAATCCAATTAAAACAGGCAGAATGGAGTCAGACTGAACTTCAGAAATGAACAACAAACAATTAGTCTCCCTTTTAGTGTTTCCTGCTAATAATAATTTTTCTTCAGTATGCAGGAAAAGAACCAAACATTCAACCCCCTTTTCTGCCTCAAAGTGACAGCTTTTCCTCCTTCAAGCAGGCTGAAGAAGGGACAGGGAGCTGTGCTGTGTCACCTATGGGATTACAGGCAGCTCTTATCACAGTCTCCTTTGTGCCCACTAGCTCCTTTCACAGGCCACTCTCAGTACCTCTGCTTCCCTGTTCTCCAAACCTCCACAAAAGCTCTTAGGAGGCATCCTCCACTGTAAATATTCACATGTACTGTACCAAAGTTTCCTTCTCCTGCTTTGGTCTTTCTGCAGCACTTTGAAATCCAGAACAAAACCTCCCACTGAAACCAGTGAGCTTGCTCCAGGCAATTCAGGAGACAACTTAACCAAATAGATTAATTTCTCCCCACTGTATTTGCAAAGCCTGGTAAGCCTTGTGTATTGTTTGCCCCAATTTAATTTTATTTATTTATTTATTTATAAACGAGGAAGCCAAGGCACTGAGATGAAGTCACTTGCCTGTGGGTACAGTCAGTCAGTGAAAGGGTAAGGAGAAGTTGGATGACATCTGAAGCTTATTCTCAGCAGCACCCTCCATGCCTCTCAGTACAAACCACGTCCTGCTTACATAGCTGTTATGAAGCTGAATTTGGTGGAGTGCTTTGCATCTGCAAAGGGTCTGGCCTTGCCTTCCCTCGCTGTCAGTGAATAGTAAAGACAGCACTGCAGAAAAGTTTCCCCTGTACTGAAGAAGACGTGCCACCTAGATTAAGTGCAGGGGGAACAAGTACTTCTCTTGATGTCTGACCAGTGTAAAATACCACTTCCTAAAATTCCATGGCGAGATGATGTGGAGGGAAGATGCCTGTTGGTGTTCATCCTCTTTGCGTGCTATCTGCTTTATTCTGGTTCCTTAACCAGAATTGCTACAAGTTCCCTCTTGCATAAGTCATAAATTCTAGTCAGCTCCTGATAGGAGTTACATGCTTCTTGTGTGGCAGCCTTCACTCTCTAAACTAGGGTATTTTTAGTGCTGTGCAAGTTGCATAGATACTGATTGTCATCTGGGTGTTGCAAAAGAGACTGGTTCATGTCTAGTGAGGGAATAGTGAAGATATTAGAGCAGTAGATGCAAATCCACTGAAGAGAACTTGGCTCTTCATGTGCAGGAAGCTAACTAGTTAAATTCAGTGTCAGTAAAATGGCTCACAACAGAAAAAACAGATAAACCTCGATGTTAAATGCACACCTTTGGGGGAAAACGCTTACAGAGAGAGCTGTCTAGAAATGAGTGATGAGATAATCCTTTAATTTCATCTATTTCAGGAAGCAGGCAGTAGGATAAGAGCTCTGAGCCCCTATTAGAAAGTTAAGTCATCACTGCAATGTCAAGAAAGGTCAACACCTCAATCTGCAATCCTAGGGGACGTTTGGAGGAAAAGACCAATAATTGATCAGGGAATGAGTGCATTTGGATGGAGGTTTGTGAAATTTGCCCCCCAGAACATAAAACTAAAACTACTGGAGGTTTGTGCTGGCTGTGGGTACGACTGGCCACACCCCACCAGAAGAACTGGGAGGGTTGAAGTGTTTGTGAATGCAGAAATCTTGTTTCCTTTTGATATGTCCTGTGATCAGTACAACTTGGATCTGAGACTGACATCCATTCTGCACTGAAAGTTGTGTCTCTTAAAGGACTCGAGAGGACTGGTCACTGGTCTCTTACTAAAACTGAGACAGGACCATATTCTGTGAATCTGGAGATATTTTGCAGCAAATCTTTCAAGACAAGATGGTGCAAAACAAGGGGCACTTCACCTTCCCTGGATGTGGAAGGTGTTGCCTTGCTTAAGTCCTTTCTAAGCCAATGATGAGGGTTTAAGCGTTGCTCAGGCCACGTGTGCTTCTGCACGCTCACACTGTGCCATCCTGAGGTCACTGCCTGCCTTGGGCTTCCCCTCCCAGGGACTGATGCCTCCTTGATCAGGAGAAAGCCTGAGAAAGCAGGAGAAACAACAACATGGCCAGTGAGAGACCAGCAGTGTGTTTTATCTCTGCTTCTCTCATGTGGTGCATTTGAAAGCATGTTTGCAAGAAGGGGTCTGTGCACTTGCTGGGCTCCAGAGCACGGTGAGGGGTGAGGACTGGAGAGATTTCCTTTTGGCCCATGGATTTTGACACTCTCCCAGTTTCAAGCACCTGACACTTTCTTTGTTTTACAGGTAATGATATAATGCAGTGGATTCTCCAGCGCTTGCAGATCCTTGAGGAAGGTGCGTAGAAGTGTAAAGACTGAGGCTTCTTCAGCTTTGAGTTGTAAAACTTCAAGGTCTCCATATGACAAAACCTCTTAGATTAATTCTTCTCTCCCGAGTAGCAGCTCACTGTTAAATTCCTGTGCAGTGTTTCTGTGCAATCAAAACATCTGCCTTCATTTTCAGAGGCTCTGCACCTGGGGGACATGTTTGTCAAATATGGATACATCTACCCTCTTCAGGAGCCAAAGAACCTCACCCTTAAGTCAGATGGCAGCCTCTACAGGTTTCAAGTGAGTTGCACCTTGTCTAAAGCCATTGTGAATGCCCCCTCCCTGGAAGTGTTCAAGGCCAGGCTGGATGAGGCTTTGAGCAACCTGGTCTAGTGGAAGGTGTCCCTGCTGATGGCAGGGGGGTTGGAACTGGATGAGCTTTAAGGTCCCTCCCAACCCAAACCAGTCTGGGATTCTGTGAGAGGGAGTTCAGCACTAGTTGAGAACAGGCAGCTGGGGCAATTCCCCAGGAGCTCTGGTCATGGGGCTGTGCTGTGTAACTGTCCTAGTCATTCACTGTGCAGGAGGAAGAGATCCACAGAGAAGCCTCAGGCCAGTTCTTCCAGTTCTATGTGTCAGATCACAGTTTACAGGGAAACTGTGATACTTCCTTCAACTAAATTAGCCTACTTGTCCAACTTCAAAATAGGTGCTTCCTTCCAAATGTGTGTTCCCTTCCAGATCTTAATGTAGCAAATGGAATGTACTGGTTGAAAACGGAATGATCTGGGGAGACTGAATAATAAATACACAGAAAGCACAGTCATACTGGGATCTTATCAAGGTTCATGGAACTAGATGAACTTTAAGGTCCCTTCCAACCCAAACCATTCTATGACTCATGGTTGGACTGTTTCTGATATGATGGGAAATTGGGGTACCCTCGTTGGTAGTTTGAATGAGGACACTGGTTCCCCCATGGTGCCAAATCAGGCTCCAGCATCACGCAGGCAGCAGTGAGAGGTTGGCCACGTTAACCAGCTGCAGAGCAGGAGTGGATTTGACATTGGCAGTTTACTGACCTCGATTCTCATGCTGTAGCTGGTCCCCACCACTGTGTGAGCTGACCCACAGCTAAGGAGCTGAGCCTCTGAGTATGGCGAGGGAGAGGTTTGTTCTCCCTCCAGTGTGAGAGGTGCTGCCTGCCTCTTGCTGTGAATTTGGGGTGCTAATGAAATGCTTGCTTTTCTGCAGACCCCCTATTTCTGGCCTGCACAGAGCTGGGCTGCTGATGACACAGACTATGGTAAGCAATAGTGTTGTGTGTGTTTAGGAGGTGTGGTTCCAGTGTGTGTGTGTGTGCAGTCCTGCAGCATCTCCTCTGTTCAGCTTTCTGTGCTGTGTATCCACATGTAAGGACCAGCCCTTGCATTTTCTTTCATACTATTTTGTGAATAATTCTCAGTGATGCTGAACTGAGGGAATACTCTGGATGTGATCACTTTGGGGTGGCCTTGATGAGATTAAGCATCTCTTAGGTTCCACTAAGATCCATCAGACTGGAATGCATCTGAAATACTTTGCTGGATAGGGAAGACTTTAAACAGAAGGTTAAATTTCTGTGAGTAGTTAAGTGTATTCCTGGATCTGAGCCCAAGACTATATTCCTGTAGATTTATATCAAGCCCTGCATTCAGAGATTGTTCTTTATATAAAGCACAGTGGCTCCCAATATCTCCTGATGGCTCTTTATATATTGATTTTTTTTTTTTTTTGTGGCCTTTATAATGCTTTTTATTACAGGGCTGGTGCTGAAACTTGGGCTGATCAGCTTGGTTGGCTGATGTGGGCTGTGCAGTTCACAGACCGATTTGTTTATGCCAGGATTGTCCTCTGTGGCTTTTATCTACATTATGCCATAGATCATCTTAAAAAAAAGCCCATTTTAGATTGGAATGTTTTTTAATAGAACTTGTAACAAAACACTGGCCTGCGTTTGGAAAACTTGGAGGTCAGACTCTGAAGAACCTCAACACCTTAAAGATTTGGTCCAGTGTCCTTTGACCTGTGAAATCCTGACTGAATTCCCAAAGGAGGAGTGACACAGCAGAAGCTGCACACTGCATGTTCTGTGTGGCTGCTACCAGCCTGGGCACTGGCTCATGAAGCATCAGCAATAAATTGAAAACACTAAATTAATTTTAATTCCCTGAGTTTTTGTGAGCTTGGAAGATACTTTAGCAGACAAAGATTCCTGGGTTTGTCACATGGGTAAATTTTTATTTATTCTTGGATTTGTTGGTCTAAGTATAACTGACTGCTTAGTTGTTTCTCCCTCCACAGCAATTTACCTAGCAAAGAAGAACATTAAGAAGAAAGGGATTTTAGAAGAATATGAAAAGGTGAGGAGATGTTGTACTTGTTCCAATGCAAGCCCCTTGTTTGCTGTAGATTTTCCCTCTGTTGTTAATGGATAAAGTGGGGCAAAAAATCACCTCTTCAATTGCATGAGGTGTTACTCCAGCAGTGTCAAACCCCAAAATTTTGGCAGTGGAAAAAGTAGCCAGCAAAGGAAAGGACTCTGAAGTCAATGATAGTTTTAGTGAGGATAATTGCTCTCCTTGTGGTGTTATTTTTGAACTGTTGCAATTCATGTAATTGTGTTCAGAACAATCCAGATTTCTTGGCTTAGTTACCAGCCTGGCTTAGTTAAGCTATGGAGAGTCAAGAAAACCCTGACATGGGAGCGCCTTGTCCAGAATTTTCACACTAACTGCTTTTTAATTTTTATTCCAGGAACATTACAACATGCTCAATCAAAAAATAAACTACAAGTGGGATTTTGTTGTTATGCAGGCCAAAGAGCAGTATAAGTGAGTTGACTTGCATTCCCTTATTTGCATCATTGGGGAGGGTATGAGGAGGCAGAGCTTCACTCTCTTGGGATACAATTAATTACAGCTCAAAAACATAAACTACAGCTTTGAAATAACTTGCAAGTGTCCCTCAAGGTTGTGAAATAAACCTATCAGCTGAGGGTTTCTCCATTTTGCAAGGAAGCTTTGCTCACTTCACACTCAGTGAAGGATTTAATCTGTTTTCAAATGCCTGGACACCCACTTGCCTCACCCACTGCACCTGCGTTTCTCTCCCTGCCTGACGTTTGTCTGCCCCAGATGTGGGCTTGGTTTGGTTTGTAAGAGCAAGAGCAGAGGTGGGGGTGGCTGCCTTTCCTCCTGACACACACGTGTACCCCTTTGCAAATGGTTTTTGCACATGTGCAAGGGGAGGTTTAGATTTTGCACCTGATGTGACTCCCTGAAGAAGCCAAGGTCTGATGCTGCAGCGTGCAGGTCTTCATTAAAAACAGCTTCTATTAGCTCAGGGTTGTCCATGAGCATTTGTGGATCAGGCCACTGGACTTAGGAGCTGTTATGGGTCTGGTTCAGTTATTGCTTGCACATGTCTCACAGCTGAACTGAATGGCCTGAATCAAGAAGCAGTAAATGTTCCCAGCAGGGACTTTGGAGGAAACTCTGAAGTGCATACTTAGGCACCCAGCCAAAATGACTTGATTTTAGGAGCTGAATCCTTCAAATTCCCAGGAAAATTAATGAACGTGAGATGGGATTATTCCTTTGGAGACAGACTCTTCCCTACTTCTGTGGATTCCTTTTACCTTTTTTACCTCCCAGCACGGCAGGCGCTGCCTCCGCTGTTCAGCGCCGTTTCTGTCTCCACTGGGCTGGCGGCCAAGTCGTCAGAATACAGCTCATCAGATAACTGTCTCATTAAACACCAGACTGTTGTTCTTGAAAATTGAGGTCAGACTTGGGCTAAGAGATGCCAAATGCAGTTTTAAAGTTAGATACTGAGACTGTGTCTGAACTAGTAGATTAAACACGTCTGAGGCTGTTTGGTGGGGATGCTGGGGCAGACTGGTGCAGAACAGCCTGCATCCACCCTGTTAACCACAGCGGGGTGGCCACATGCAAACAGCCTTTTGGGAATGCTGCCTTTGCCTGTGCTAAGTCCCAAATTGTACCCAGGACTTGTCTGGGAAAGAATTAATTGGTCCAAGCCCAAACCATGCTGGTGTTTCTTCTATTTAATAGTAGAGGTGATTTGGGTTTTAGTGCCTGGGAACACTGCTTGGCTCCACTTTCAAATCATTTCTGTGAGAAATGCCCCTCTTTACCAGGAGATGGGGATGGGATGTGTCTGGGGTGTATCTCTGCGTGGCAGTCCTCAGATACTGCCCGGAGACATCAGAGATGGATAAACATGAGGCAGCAGAACTGACCGCAAGTGATGGCTCATTAGCGTAAAACTCTACCAAAGGGCTGTCTGGCTAATCAAAAGAGGATGTGTCTGCTCCCAGCTGAGCTCAGGAAGATGATGGTTTCTCAAAAGCTACAGTCATGTGTGGCCATGTGAACAGCATGATCTGCACTCCAGAATTAGTCAGGGTAAGACATGGTCAGGAGGCTGCAGCAGAGCATCGCACTGTCAGGCTGGGACCCACGGGGCAGGGGAGGTGGGGCTGTGCCCCCTTTTCTCACCCCACTGCTTTTAGGAGAGGACAATTCATTAATTCCTCTGGTAGAGTTAAATCCCATTTTTGACTTTGCAGGGCAGGGAAGGAGCGGAATAAAGAGGACAGGTACACGCTGGACTGCCAGGAGAGAGCCTACTGGCTTGTGAACCGAGCTCCTGTGAGTAGAGGATGTTGGCATGTGGCTTTAGTGCCTCGGTGGTGCCCACCCTGCAGGCACCTGGGACACACCTGGGAGGGAGATCCAGCTGCAGCACCCGTGGTTGGCGGGGAGCGTTGGGGGCAGAGCTCACCCAGGGCACTGCTGGCTGGGAGCTGCTGGAAGCAGAGCCCTTTGGGGCTTGGGAGTCTCCTCATGCATTTATGTGAACCACAGACTTTAAAACAAATGAGTTACAAAGCTATTGATGTTTCTTGTTCATAACAGCCCGGCATGATAGACGCCCTAGAGTATGGATTAGACCGCGTAACGGATCCCAATGAAAATAAGGTAAACCAGGTGAGACAGGTTTTTGTTTTGGTTTGTTTTTTTTCACACCTACTGAATTTGTTTGGGAGGATCCAGACGACATCCCTGGGATTGTGGTTTCTTGGGCAGCGCAGGCTGAGCGAGTCTGCTCAGCTGTGACAGCCAAACAGGCCAGAAGTTGAAACCTTCTCATTGTCTGGGGAGTGGAGCTCTCAAAATAGGCTTTGGCAGCATCTTTTGGCTTGAAAATACTTTGTCAGCTTTCTTGCCACACCAGTTAGTGTGAGTGTTTAGCTACAGGACACGTTTTCTATGCTGGTGAATCTGAATTAATGAATCCTTTACCTCCAGATGCTTGTTGCTGCCTTTTTGTTAGTGGTGAATGGACTGTGGGGAGTTGTGGGGTATAAAGGATCAGAGGAAAAAAACAGGTTTAAACTAAAATGACAGAATACCTCCAAAAAGGTGACGTATGGCAAGAAGAGGGAGAAATTGGTGTGGTAGATAGGAGACACAAAATGTTGCCTAAAAATGCTTATTATATAGCTAGACCATGAAGAAACAGAATTAATGGACTGAGACCATGGAGGCTGTAACTGGGTGAGACTGGTTCAGAGTCCACAAGAAGACAGATGCAGTCAGTGGATGAGGAGCTGGAGCTGCTCTGCTCTTTCTCCATCAGCCCTTTTAAGGGCTTCTGCATTTGTGCACTTAATGGTGTTCATTTGGAAGTGAAGTCAAAGTATCTCTCAGCAATCAGATGCAAATGTTACTGCGATCACACTCCCTGTATTCCCCCAACTTCTCATTTTTGTAACAGCCTTTAAACATCTCAGCAGCTAAAGGCAGGATAATTGCTTTGGCCAACTGTGTTCTGTTGCTATAGAGACTGAAAATGAGCAAAATGTAAGGTTGGGGTGTATTTTGTTTTTTCTTGCTGTAAGTAGGAGCTGCTGAAAGCCTCTTAAAAAAAAATTAAAAAAGGAGAAAAGGAGTGGAAGAAAGAGAGAGGGATGGAAAAGAGGAGTAAGCCAACTTCTCGCCCACAGTTTTACAGCTGATGTGGAAGGAGATTTTAGGTTTGCAAATGGTCTGAAAGCCTGTAGCCATTTGCCAGCTGCTTGGTAACACAGATGGAGTGAGCTGAGGGGTCTCTGTTCAGTTCCCACCCTGGACATAAGAGACATCATCTGTTCCTCCCATCAGCAGGGACTCCAAGGATGGCATGAGCCAAAGGACACCAGCTTTGGGGTGATTTCACTGCCTTTATCCTTCAGGCTGGTCTCTGAGCTGTGCCTCCTCTTTGGTGACTGAGCTGAAGAGGGAAGGTTCCCTCTTCCCTGAAGAGGGAAGGCTCTTACTCCTCTTTTTGCTTTTGAAGGAGCAATTGACAATACACTCAACAGCCAAAAACCACCTTTTTTTTGAGTCACCTTTAGACCAGCAGATGGTTTTGATTTCTGCGGGCTACTCTCACAAACACCTGTGGCTCAGCAGCCTTTGGTGAGCAGAAAGGATGTCCCAAGCTCTGCTAGTAAATGCTGAGCTGGACTGTGCTTTGTTGGCCGTATTTTACCCCTGCTGAAGGTGATGTGGGGTTTTATTGATGTTTTCTGTAGGCCCAGCCTTTGGCTCTGACATAGGTGAAATGATGAGAGCAGAAAATGAGTGCATGATCCAGTGCCCATTTATTTGATTTCTGTCTCTGTTCCCACTCAATCTAGCTTCATTTTGTTGGCCAATTAGTTTTCTTTTATCTTGACAGCTGAGAAATAAAATATTCCCGGTGACAATTAATTTCTGACATCAGAATGACTTCTTTGAAGCTAATATTGGCACAAACATCTCTATCACTTGCCTCAGAACCTTTGTGGGCTGCTCTCTCTCTAATTGATAGAGTCCTCTGGGGATAAACAGGTGCTTGGCCAAACATCCCACTCCTTTGAAAAGAACTTTTATTACTGACCCATGAGCATCCCTCCTGCTTATAATGAGTTAGGAGTTGTAGCTGGGCAGGGGGAATGAGGCAGAAGTAGCCATCCATTGAACAGCTAATTAAGGGAATGCTTTAGCCTTTTGTTACCCAGGTCTCAAGCTCATGATGGAGCCTCAGTGCTTAGAGAGTTACCAGGCAACTGCCAGAGCCTGCAGGTACACACTCAGCTTTCACCTTCTTCTGTTAACCAGAGAGTCTTTCTGAAAGGTGCTTTGGCTTAGCTAAAACTCACTGTTCTAGATTGAGGGACTGCTGAATAAAATATCCTGGCTTGTTGTACCCAGCAGATCAGCCACAGATCATCGTAGTCATGGCTGACCTTTAATTTCAGAAGTCTCTGTCAGCTTGGCTGCCTGATAAATGCAGAATTTCTGCTGCATCTTTTGAAAGAACAGGATCAGAAACAGATAAATGAAATGAGGGGAAAACCAGTAATTTGAATGCAATTGAGTGTATGGGCTGTTACAGATCTGATTGCCAGCCGTGGGGCTGGAAGCACCAGCACAGGGAGATGCATCTTGAGGTCATCTTATGCTAGACTCAGAATTTGCCTCTGGCCTGT